TCTCTCTCTCTCTCGCTCTCGCTCTCTCGCTCTCTCTCTCTCTCTCTTTCGTACACTACGGTGCAGTCATCCGTTTTAAAAATTGCTCTCTCTTTCTTTCTCTCTTCCTCCCCGCTACCGCCTCCCGCCATCGGTTCGCACAAAAGAGCGTCCACTCTGATATACATGTTTATACATACATATATATATCACTTGTGTGTGTGTGTGGCACGTGCACCCTCACACGAAGCCACTTTGAAAATTGGTTCACGTTTCGTCTGACCAACGAGGGACACGACGAGTCTGTCGCGCATTCGGCGCCGCTGATTGCGCGATCATCATCAACCCCTCTTTCTCTCTCCCGTCAGCTTTTCCTCGCTTTCTTTCTCTCTCTCTCTCTCTCGCTCGCTCGCTCGCTCGCTCGTTCTCGCTCTCGCTCTCGCTCTGTCTCTTCTCTCTCGCCACTTGTACTGTCGATCAACCCCTTCTCACGAGGGGCCACGGACGACCGCTTCAATTTTCATTCTACAAATGCAGAATCATACACGTTAAAAGTCACGCTCTCCCTCGCACCGTCCCTTCCTCCTTCTCTTCATTGTCACTCGCAGCGAGTCGTGAAAGACCGCCAGTTAATGGTGGCGCAGAGACGTCACTCTTGGACGACTTGGTCGTCGCGAGACAGGCTCGAACGAGTCGAGAGAGTATCGCGATGGAAACTCGTGTCGAGGAAAAAGGCGATTTTGCTCGTGACCGAGGCAGACGGAGAGAAAACCAGAGAGAGAGAGAGAGAGAGAGGGAGAGAGAGAGAGAGTGAGAGGAAAAGGCACACGCGACTCGGACGCGCGTCCTGCGTGAGGGACCGCCGACTTTACGAGACAAGGACACGCGTTCGCGAGCGAAATCATTACGTCGGGACGCGATCAAAAGGACCCACCCTCGATCGCGGTGCGCAGGCAGGACCACGCTGCCCCGGTCGCGTCTCCTGAGGTCAGGCCGATCCTGAGGCGGAGGGCAGGACGATAAAGCGACGGACACGCGCGCGACGCGCCCGAAGCAGCGGGGTCCGGTCCCTTGCGTGTACAACAGGGAGGAACGTAATGAATGGGGGTAGAGAGGGGGGGGACAAGAGGGCAAAAGCCACGAGAAGAGTCGACGGGTTTCGCGGGCGAACTGACCCCCTCCTCCGGGCCGCGACGTGCGCGAACTCGAAGATCGAGCGCCCTCGCGAAGACGACCCTCCCTCCGGGCGCGCGCTGCGAACTCAGAACGCGAGAAGCTTCCGAATTTTGACTAGAAGAAGAACAGGGTGAGGACCCGCCTCGCGATCAACGCGGACGACGGGCGCCCCGTCCTCGCGGAGGACGACCGCGTCGTCTCCCGCGGGAAGTGCGCGCGCCTTTCAATGGGACTAGAAACGCACGCTGGGAAAGGGGGCAGAGGGGGGGGGGCGGAAGTCGGGCGCGAGATCCGCGTGCTAATCATACGGAACAACTTATACGCTAATATGGCAAACTATGGCACGAAGTTTGCGAGAACTGCTCAAAGCCGAGACGCGGGTGGGCCGCGAGTTATCGTCTCTTCCCTTCCCTTTCTCTCTCTCTCTCTCTCTCTCTCTCTCTCTCTGTCTCTCCCTCTCTCTCCTTCTCTCTTTCTCGCTCTTTATCCGATGGTTCTACTTAAAGTTACGGGACGTTTCGTCGAGACGCGGCTTCACCTCCACGATTGCGTCGTCCGACGAAGAAGCGAAACGGAGAAGCGCGCGGTCGGCGTCGCGCTCTCGCTCGCTCGCTCGCTCGCTCGCGAGTCGTTGGTGCCTCGATTTTGAGCACGGGCTCTGGAGAGCTTGGATCGGTCCGCCGTGGAGGTGCGGAATCCGCGGTCTCGGCGGGGTCGTTTCGCGCGGGGGATTTCGTGATGATCGATCGCAAGCAGCGGCTGGGACGTCCTCGCCCGGCGACACGCGGCTCGATCTCCGAGAGCCTCGATCGAGGCTCGCGTGTCTACTCGCCTCCTTCTCGCCGGCTGGATGAGCGGAGACGCCGCGCCGGGACGCGCGGCGTCTCGAGAGAATTTTTCACGCGAAACGAAAATCCCCGGCAAAGATGACACTCGAACGCGAAGCAATCGTCCGTGAGAGACCGTCCCGGTCTCTCACGCGCCGCCCGCCGCTGCGCCACTTTCGCCGGCAGCCGGCGGGCGTCGCGGGAGATGAATCGGGAGATCGACAACAACGCAATAGACGCTAAGAGAAACTTAATTGTATCACACGAACGAACGAAAACAAGCAAATCGAGCACCGCGAGTAAACGAGAACCAATGAGTGCGCGCGCGCGCGTGCGCGTGCGCGGAAATAAAAGGAACCCCGGCGCGAGAAGGAGACGTCCGCGAAGCTACACGAAGCTACCGTCGAGATCGAGCGTATGGGCGAGAACAGGTCCCGTGGGCGAGGTGGTTTCGCCGCCCTTACGAGAAGGGCAGGTCCTCCTCGGGCGACTCGTCGTGGTACTCCTCGTGGTCGGACGTGTGTCACAAAACGTCGCTCGGTTGGCGCTGGCCGATGCCTATCGTGGGCGACAACTGTTCCTCCTCGACCGCCACCGTCTTCGGGTCCTCGTCCTTCCACTTGTCCATCGAGCGGCGTCGAGCGTTCATGAAGAAGTTCCCGACCGTCGTCGGTTCCAGGCCCAACTGCCTCGCGATTGTCACCTGCATCTCCTTCGACGGCCTCTTGGTCTCCTGCGGCCAACAAAGAGAGAGAGCTCGGTTAATCGCCGCGTCTCATCGTTATTTATCGCACCTTGTGTTTTATATCTTATCGTTATCTCGCACCGGCGTGGCCGGCCACTCTGTGCCGCCCGACTCAACTGCCTATGTTAAATCTATCCCCCTGCCCCTCTCTCTGACCCCTCCTCGCCGCTAGCGTCCGTCGATCTCGCACCGCGCGAAACGCTGCGCCGGTCTCTCGCGGCCTAGGTTCCGTTTTTCTATTTCGAGAAAGGACACGTTGTCTCGCGCTTGTCTATTTCCCGCGATGTCGATTGGCTATCTCTCGATCTCGGCTCGACGCGAGCCGCCTCGTTACTTCGTTACCCCGCGACGGCGAGCGGCGAGCGGCGAGCGGCGAGCGGCGGCTGTCATCGCATTTCGCTGGCTGGTTGCGCATTTCGCGGCGCGGCGTTGTATAAATCGTAGGACTTGTTGACGCGTCCGTGGAAAAGTCATCGCGCGAGTGTCACGTATGAATGTCACGTATACGCGAGAGTAGCCGGAGAACTCGCCGCCAAGAATAATCAAAAGCATCGAAAAGAATCGCGTTACTTACTTATTTAGAACGCGAGCGTTTGGATATTTCAGCGGTCGTTTGCAGATGGAATAACATTCTCGACGAATGAATAAAATATGCGCAAGGAGGAGGGCGGTAGAAGGGCGGCGGGGCCAGGGGGAGAGAGGTGGTAGGGAACGAGGTCAATTGAATTACATCAATATCGCTCGGAGTGTTTAATGCGCTTATCGGATTAATTAACCGCTAAGTTGATACACTCGCGGCGGTACGAAAAGATTCGGACGCGCTCTCTCTCTCGCTCGCTCGCTCGCTCGCTCGCTCACGCGAGTACATTGTACTCGCGCCGAGGCTAATTCCGAGGCGCGCGAGCTACGCGAAAGTATCGGTTAGTAATAATTGTTGCTGCGCCGGCAATCGATGCACGCTCTCTCCGCCGCCAAGTCCCCGTTATTGATCGCGCCACGTTGGGTAAGAAACGGCGCGTGGGAAGAAAACGCGGTAGCCCATTTACCGCGTGCGGCGACATGTTTACCATCGTCCACCCGGCGCGGAATGAACGACAGATTATCGTTAAGCGCGCGAGTGTACACTTTTTACGATCGACCTCCGATATCTCCCCCTCCCTCCCTCCCTCTCCCTGCCACCTCTCTCTCTCTCTCTCTCTCTCTCTCTCTCTCTCTCTCTCTCTCTCTCTCTCTCTCTTCCTCTCTCGCGGTTGCGGCTGTCGGAGCGGTCGAGAAGAAAGGGAGAGAAGAATTGGCGCAAACGATTAGGACGAATCGCATTTCGAAGAGGCTACAAGACGCTCTGTTACTCTCTCTCTCTCTCTCTCTCTTTCTCTTTATCTTCTTCCTCCTCCCCCTCTCTCTTTTCGATAGCCCGACAAAATTGAAGGGAAGGCAGCGGGCACGCGCGAGTCAAGGCGAATTCCGACGTGCAGTTTGGGCCGCGACCGCGGCTAATTTGTGCCGAGATCAATACGCGACACGCGGCAGATAAAACTCCGCTTATAATTAGGAATAGTAATTATCTTATAGAATTTCAGAACCCCCTCCACTTGCGCGCCCTCCTGCCTGTCCGCCGCCCTCCTCTCTCGCTCCGCTATTCCGTCCAATTAATTCCATAAGATAATCACCGTTCCGCGGAATTACAGAGCGCTCTTTCTCTCTCTCTCTCTCTCTCTCTCTCTCCCCCTCCCCCTCCCTCCCTCCCTCCCTCCCTCCTTCCCTCGCCCGTCCTCTCGACCAGCTTTATATACATTCCGCGCGATGCGTTAAATAAATAGCGCCGCTCATGAGCATGTCGTGAAATAAAACCGCGTGCGTCTGGTTTAGCGCGTTCGTAGCGAGTCGCATCCCTCGCGAGCGATTTCTTGCCCGTCACTTTCCAAGGGCTGCTCTCTCTCTCTCTCTCTCTCTCTCTCTTCCCCTCGTCCTGCTCGTCCCGCCCCCCCTCTCTCTCTCTCTCTCTCTCTGTCTGTCTCCCCTATCTATCCATCCACCCTCGGCAAGCGGCGATGACGTGACGTGTACGCGCGCGTCGTACACGCTAGTACGGCTGGATCTCGTGCTTCGTATGTGCCGTTCTCGGTGCTTTACTGAAACAGCAACAGCAGCAGCAGCAGCAACAGTAGCTGCTGCTGCTGGTGCTGCTGCTGCTGCTGCTGCTGCTGCTGCCGCAGCAGCGGCACACGCGCACAACAGTGGCTGTCAAGGAATAATCACGATGCTTCGTCGCGATAGTGTCCCGCATTTCCAACAATTGATGCGCCGTTCTATAACGCGGCCGCCGGGCGCCGCCTTCCTTCTCGTTTCGCTCGCTCGAGCCTCGTCTCGTCGTCGACGTCGACGTCGACGTCGTCGTCGAGGCTCGGGGGTCCGCTCGAGCGTGGCTGCGGAGCGATGGCGGCAGCGTGCGTATCAATAGCGCCGACACGCGGCGGGGCTGTGTGCGACTCGAAGCAAGTCCGGCGTGTCGCGTGAGTTAAGCGAAATTAATGTCCGCGAGAGTTAATTAAAGTACGCGTCTCTGTGTGTCTCTCTCTCTCTCTCTCTCGCGCGCGCGCGCGCCCCGTCGTAGTCGTCGCCGTCGCCGTCTAAAAATCGAAATCGTCGATCCCGCCGTCACCGCGAGAATTAAATTATTAATTAATTTCGGGATATTTAACGGCACGAGCGCGTCGCCCGGCCAGCGCGACCCTTGAATCCGAAATTATTTAATCCGCTCGGCTGAGGGGCGGGGAGAGGCGGGCCGACACGGTTGCCCCGGTCCGGAATTTTCGTGTACGCGCGTGTACCTGCGAACATTTTATTATTAAATTTCAGCAACTTTTTTTCGTTCTCTTTCCCCGCCGAGGTATAGACGGAGTAGTAGTAGTAGTCCGGCAAAATTGCGAGAGAGTCGATTTTCCCCGTCGGATAAAAGTGTGATCGACGCGGGGGACGAGCGAACGAGGGCGGGAGGGAGGAAGCGAGAGGCTCACCGGCGACAACTCCAACTCCGGGAAGAGATATTTGTAATCTAATTTTGACAATTCCGGTCCGAATGTTGTAACGGCGTGTCTTCAACTTTTAATTCCCTTACCAAAGTGAGACCGAAGTCGCGAGTCGTGCAAATCGAGAGGTGCAGAGACAGAAAGAGAACGAAGCCCCCCCCCTCTCCCTGCCTCCTCGCAGTTCGCTTCTCGGTGAGGCGTAAACGCGTATTCAAAATTCAGAGAGACCTCTCGATATTCAGTCAATCGAGGTGAATAAAAAAAAGAGAAGATAAAAGGGGGCAAATTTTTGAGGCCCTCTTTTTATCTCAAACGAACCGCCGATTTTCGAGTGTGCGATGGAAACGGCTTCGGTTTCGTACGAGTCTCGTCGTCTACAGCGGCAAAAGGACTTGGTTTTATTTCCTGCTTCGAGAGATAATCTCTACATCGTGAATACCTATAACCGCGATTTAAGAGGCGGACGGCGTGGAGAGAGGGAAGAATTTTCGCCGGAATCGCCGTCGCGAGCGGATAATGGGCCGCTTACCGGACTCACCGGCGAGCGTTTGTCTTGGAGAGAGCGCTGAAAAGCGACCCGACATCCTTTTTTTTTTTTTCAAATCAGGTTAAAATCTCAATGTGAAAGGCTGCGCCCGGCGCTCGCCTCGGGTCCTCCTCCGACGGCGCCGCTTCCAATGGATCGGAATATCAATTATCTTTGCAATTACAGCAATTAATATTCTCATTCCGATAGAGACCGAGCCGCGCCGTAAAGGCGACGCCGCCGCTCGGCTTTGAAAGTAATCAAGGCGAGTTTTATACATTTCTATATACATATACATGTACACATATAGACATGCATTGAGACAAATAAAAGTCTCGCCCGGGATCCGCGGCCCATTATATTCAGATCGCCCAAGTGTCTTTTTTCTCTTTTTTTTTTTTTCTTTTTTTTTTTATCATAGACCGATGTATTAATTATCCTCGCAATTAAAGCAATTAATAGCGATCGCCGGAGGAGCCGGCGCCTACGCGCGTTGCGTAAAGAACCGCGATTAAAAGGGACCACCTCCTCTTAACGGGGGCGCTCTCTTCCTCTCTGCCTCTCACATGCACACACCTTATCCTCTCTTTCAAGAGAGCGCGATTTTATTTCTCTCGCGATGTCGCGAGGAGAAGCTTCTTTTTCCTTTCGCCTGTCAAAGAAAATTATCCTCGCGTCTCCATTCTCTCGCGGTCGTCTCCGCGTGCGCCGCGACTCGCTGAATTTAATGAATTTCTACGAAACTCCGTCGCGTTTCCCGCGCGTCACCGTTAACACAATCCGCTTTATAATCGCATGTGCGTTTAAGGTGAGTCAATCTTCATTCCAAGATGCGTCGCGCGGCAGAAGAGGATAGATGGTGGCTGCGAGTCACCCAGGATTCTCCCCTCGGACAAAGAAATATTTCCACGGCGACCTTGCCCTCCGCCCCCTCGCCCGCCTCCGCACAGTCGGCTCGTCTCGAGATATTCGCGAATCTCGTTAATTCTCGCGGAATACCATCTCCAGGCGGAATTCTCGCGAGCGGCGGCGGCGGCGGGCGGGGGGGGGGGAGGAGAGGTTGATCCAATAATCGCGCGAGCGCGCTCGCGGCCGCCGCCGCCGTCGTGCCTACGTATGTGTGCGCGCGCGAGTGCACACCTAAGTATGTGTTTGCAGGTGTACGAGAAAGATTGCGGCGGTGGTGTGCGAAGTGGGCTAAGGTCAATTCGCAAACTATTTGGCGCGCTTCCAGACCATGCCGAAGCGTTCGTGCCGTGGCAGCCGCCCCTTGCTCGCTCTTCATTTCCCTCTTCCTAGCTTTTCCCTCCCCTCCCCCCCCCGCCGCCGCCGCCGCCGCTTTTACTTCCTCGTGCCGGCGGATCACTCGCCCGCGCGATCACGCGCGCGAAGTACGATCGCGATATCGCCGTGCGACCGCCCGAGCCGAAATTCGCACGCTAATCAGCATTTATCGCTCTCGAGCGCCCCTCGCCGGCCCTTAATCGTCGCGCTTCCACGCGGAATCGTCGCGCGTGGAAGCCGAGCTACCGGCTGGCCGATACTGTCCGGCACAATTCCCGCGTTCGAAGCGCGTAGCCGCCGCCGCCGCCGCCGCCGCCGTTGCGATGTTTAACAATCGCTCTCGCTCTCGCGCGCGCTTTATTTGCTTCTCGTCGGCGGTCTTCGCGCTGCCGTTTCTCGGCCGATTGTCGTCATTCCAGCGGGACGAGCGAAATTCGATCGGCCCGGCGAATTAGACCGCTTATTTCGGTTTCGCTATTTGGCCGGTGTGGTTCTTGATGAAATCCGCGGGAGTGCGCGCTGTTATTCCGATTAACCGTTCGATCTCGATTAGGCTAATTGATTTTTTCTCGTTGGTCGCCCCTCTTTTTGTCGCTTCGTTGTCCCCGAAATAGAATGTCGCGCGGTAATAGAGGATGCACGTTCCGAATTAGCGTTCTATGAAATATCGTTCCAATAATCCGACCAATCGGCCGAACTCTCGTCGGGATTTATCAAATTTCGTATGAGCGACAAACGCGCACGCGCGCTCTGCAGCGTCCTTACACGGCCGCGGCCGAAAAAATTGATCATTAAGAGTAATATTCGCGTTGCCGTAGCAAAAAATTCCATTCGATCTGAGGGCAATCGCTTTTGCGACAAAGCAGAAAAGTTGATTTCTGCGAAAGGCAATTTCGCCGAAGCGCGCCGCGTCGGTCGCGAGCGCGCGAGCGCCGCGCGCAAACGTGCGGGCGCGCGCTCGCGGCCGCTATTTATGCGATAATTTATCGCCATCGGAAACGAGTTATCACGTTTCATTGTCCCGCGATGCATCTGCCTGATTGTAATCATAGTTGTAATAGCTACGGACGTGCCGATGCGCGCCGTTATATACGCCGGCTCAATCGATTTCGTATCTCGCGGATTGCGCGCGCTGTGTAACGATATTTGTCATTTTGTTCTTTGGCTCTTCATGAGAATGGGAGAAAAGAGGCGAGATGGAGCGAGAGAGAGAGAGAGAGAGAGGCGAGATATCTGATTTTTATTTTCCAAAGGCAACAAAAATCGCCCGAGTCCGCCGCGCGTTATCCAGCGCGTCTTCACCAGCGATGTGGAATTGAAGGTGTTTTCGGAGCTTGTTCTCGCTACGATCCATAATTCGTCACGGGATTCGGGACGGGATTCTATTTATAATTCTATAGATCGCGCAATGCAGAAAACATTTCAATTGTCGGCGCGCGCGTCGTGTCTATAAATGTTATTCCAAAAATTCTCGAGTGTTTTCTTACGGGCGAAATTCTGCCGCGAGTTCTGTCACGGATAATAGATCTCGCCAAAAGTGTCGCCGTAGAATAGGGAAAGTTGGAAAAAAATATTCGTTTCTCCTTCTCTATTTTCTCATTCTCTACTTATAACCCGAAGTCGCGCGTCGCGACGATGTCGCGTTCGGCCTATATATCTCTCTCTCTCCCATCGGCTCGCTTCCCAACGAACAATGCAAATTCCTTGAGCGTTTTTCCTTGAAGCTGTAGCGGCCAGTAATAACGGAAAGTGTTTCTCGAATAGTTGAAGGTCGGCCGGCGTTATCGGTGTCGACTGTCGTAGAGCTATGGACGGCCGGTGGCCGAATTCGAACGCGAATCGGCCGAGAATTCGCCCGAATTTTCATGTTTGCGCGAAAGAAGAGAAAGTCATGAAATGTTCCGTAACATTCATCGACTCAAATTGCACGGCACCGATTTTCAAGTGAGATCACACAGCTTGTTCATCCGCGTCACTCGTCACCCGTCATCCGGCCGGAAGGCATCCGGTCGAGGAAGACGCAAACGAGGGTCAACGGAGGAAGGCGGAGGGAGCGCGATGCGAGAAGTGTCGCGAGAAGAGAGAGAGAGAGAGAGAGACGAAAGCCCGAGATGGCGCGCTTTCGGCAGGCACTCGTTTTTTTCCGAGACGTTAATGAGGAAACGGATAATATCAATGGCCATTCTTGAAACGCGGTAGAGCGGCGTTGCAATCAGCGGGGCTGAAATACGGAGCGCATAAGTAAAGAACCAGCCGCGAAATTATTCAAGACCGATCGATAGCCGAGCGCGCTGCCGGTTGACGCGCGACTGAATTTCAAGTATCTACAGCACGGACATGTTTTTCCAACGCGAAAACTCGCCAACGCGACATTCTCCGCATCTTTTTCTCTCTCTCTCTCTCTCTCTCTCTCTCTCTCTCTCTTCTCTCTCTCTCTCTCCGTTCATTCGCCTCTAAATTAGGAATCGTAGGGCGCCCCCCCGCCAGAGAGCGCACTCTCGAAATCTGCTCTCCCATTGATCCTCGCCGCCATCTCCAGCGATCCAAACACGACCGATCGCGCCACTCGACGTTATCGTCCCTGACGGTCGAATGTAAATATATGTAAAACATCCCCGCGCGCGTTCTCCAGACTCGAGTCAGTCGAGATTGTCGTCCGTGACAAACCTCGTCGCGGGCTCGCGCGATGCGCGCACATCAGCCGCTTCGTAATTACCAACGGCAACCATGAAGGAAGGAAGGGCGTACTAGGTGAGAGACACGACGGGAGACAACACGCCGTGCATTCGGGACCTGCACATCTTATTTTCGTTCCGAAGAGAGAAAAATATCGAAAGAGCGCGGTAGTCGCTAGACCGGGAATCGAACCCGGGTCCTCTCTCTTCTCTCTCTTTCGCTTGCCGGGCGACTGCTCTAGACCACTGAGCTACCTGACGCTCCACGCTCACGACATTCTCCTCTCCCCAGATAACGTTGAGAGATGTCGTTCGGAAGCGACATCTCTAGTGCTATCCCGAGCGCACGGCGACTACAGAGAGAGGCATTGTTACTTGTAGCTTGTACCTAGTGGTACAAGCTGGTGGTCTCTCAAAGTCAATCGCGCAATCGCGCTTCACTCGCTAGCGTCGGCCTCCGCGCGCGCGCGCGCGCCTCCGTCTGAGGGGAACACCTCTCGACCTAGCCGGGGTGCGCAGGTGTGTCCTCGCGAGCCGAGTGCAATCGAATGTTGCAAGTTCGAACGTATGTATGCACTTTCGACCGCGAAAGTTCGTCGCCGCTAACAAGCGGCGGATCAGTCCGGCGCTCGTTCGCTTGCGCGCTCGCGCGTTCCCTCCCCGGCCCCCTCAATATTCATTTCTCCGTGCATCGTCGGGGGGCAATTACTATCGATCAGGGGGATGAGTTACGTCGTCGTGTGTGTGGACGATACTTACTTTAAAAATAGCCTGTAGAGTACGGCGCTGAAGGTCTGTGAAAACCAGCCGCGGTTTCTTGGGGGCGGGCTGTTGGTGTTCTGCCTGGCTCGCCATCTCGTCTTTCCTCTTGCATGCTGAAAACAGACGAGTCCGTGAGCGCGCGATGGCTGCGTACTCGCGCGTAAATACGCGCGTGCTTGCGTGCGTGTCGTCGAGCGGCGACGTCGCCTCGCCTCGCCTCGCCTCGCCTCGCCTCGCCTCGCCTCGGGCCGGCACGACCCGCGAGGTGCTTCCGCTCGCGTTTACGATTTCGGATCGACCGGACTTTTGCGAGAAACGCCGCGTGCACGAGGTCGACCACGACGACGCGTCGTCAACGACGTCGTCGTCGTCGTCGTCGTCGGCCGGCCGGCTGGCCAATCTGCTCTCTCGGCGGCTCGAAGAACTTGAAATTTCGCGTAAGAAGCAGTTCCGCGCCGGTTGTTCAATCGCCCCCCGTCCCCCCCCTCCGCTCTCACCCGAATCCGCGCCTCCTCGTTCATTCATGAGCGACGAGGGAGGAAGCGGGCCCGGACGCGCAATCGGCAGCGGGCCGTGACATTTCCGCGCGGATTCCGCGTCCTTGCGTTTCCCCTTCGAAGCGGTCTGATAGACGATAATCGCAATTACGGAGCGAAAAAGTGCAAAGGAGACGACAGGCTGCTGGTGCCGGCGGCGGCGGCGGCGGCGGCGGCGGCGGTGGCAGTGGTGGCAAGCGGTAATCGTGGCGACGAGAACGAGCAGGAGGAGGAAGACGACGAGGAGGGGGGACAGAAGGTCATCTCGGAGGAGGAGGATAGGGGCGCTGGTAGGAAGAGGCGCGTCGCCGATGGCGAGGACGGGGGGAGTGGGCGGTTGCGGTTTTTTTCAAACGTAATTTAATCGTACTTACTTCCGCGTTGTGGAATCTGTGCAGCTGAAAGCAGAAAAAAAGACCGATGTTAGTCACAGTGGGAACGTAGCCGGGTCGCACGACCTTTCTTTCTTTCTCCCTCCCACCCACCCTCTGTCTCCCTTTCTTTTTTTCCCTCCTCCCCTTTCACTATCTTTCTTTTTTTCTTTTTTTTTTTTTTTTTTTTTCCGGCAGGTCGTTTCGCCCCCTTTTTTCTCTCCTCCACTCGCTTCGTTTCAGCGCTCAAGACAGATAGTACATTAAAGTGGGCACGTAACGGTAGCATGTACACAAGTCATTAAGGGAAAAAGGGTGAACTGAGTTGCATACACGAATCCCAAACTTAAAGCTACTGGCTGCTGGTAAATCATACATATCACTAAGGGGGTACCAAAATAGGGCAGGGGGGCGGGCGGATGCAAGTGTGTCGTAAGATGCATTCTCTCGTTCGTACGGGGGTCGAGAGCGGTGGTAAGGGGTGGGCAGGAGGGGTGGGTGCGATATGTGACGCTCCCTCGCGCGAGGGAGGATCCGCGGATCTCGTTACTGCGAGACGCTCGTTCCGCGAGCGAGAGAGAAGGCGACAGAGAGCGAGAGAGAGAGAGAGTATATGTGAGAGTGAGAGTGTGAGAGAGAGAGAGAGAGAGAGAGAGAGAGCGAGAGAGGGCCGGGGCGCGTTTAAAACCGCCGGGTAAACATCCTCGCGCTCGACGACGCTTTCACCGACGTCGAACACGGCGTCGTGTGCGCGCTGCGTATTCACCGATATAAATGTTTAATGCGCTTGCGATACGCGCTCGCGCGCACCCTCCTGTCGACAGAGGAGCCGCTGTCGTGTAGCGAGCGCCGCGCTTATTATTTGTTGTAATTCCAAAAGGTTGTTATTTACATTATGTCGCGAATTTCCATGTGGAATTTCCCGCGCGATGGTGCGAAGAACAATGTCTGGAATTGCAATAAATAACGGTAACGCGCGCCGACGCCGCGTGATTGACTGAACTCGGCTCGTTCTCTCTCTCTCTCTCTCTCTCTCTCTCTCTCTCTCTCTCTCTCTCTCTCTCCCTCCCTCTCTCTCTCCCTCTCTCTCCTTCGTCGAAACTCGGACGCCTCGAGTATCCCAAAGAGCCGCGGATCCGCGACTTGGACGATCCAGCACCGCGTTGGCGAGGATCGCTCAACGTCGCCAGCGTCGAATGTTGTGTTTGTCGTTACTGTATGGGAGCAGAATAGTAATGTTGTTTCATTGTTGCTGAAAAGATATATACATATATTAATTATTTTTACACATGTATACATGTATAGATCTCTCTTTGTGCCTTCGCATAATGTGATCTGAATGACGTGTCGGTGTGTGCCGAGCGACTTGATTAGTCGGCGCGAGAAAAATCTCAATATTCCGCGTCGTCGCGCTCGCGGCAGCGCGCTCCATTGTCCATCTCCGCGGAATCAAGCGGATCTCGCTCGTTCCAGCGGTCCTTAAGGCCATCACACACAAGTGAACTTGAGCAGTAAGACGCAAGCAGCAAAGAAACTGACCAATCACAATCAATTATCCTCGTAAAGTTTAAAATGTCGTCCCGAAGTTTCTCGATTGTGATTGGCCGATTTGCTTACTGCTTACGTCTTACTGCTTAAGTTCGTTCGTGTGCGATGGCCTTTAGCGATGCATACAAATACAGATATCGGCGACAAGCAATTCTTATTCACTTGTTAGCCGTTCTGCATACTCGCGAGTCTTGCCGCTTAGCGACGCCCGTAATCGGGTTGAAATGAGACGAAGTCGCGCGCGCGCGCGCGCGCGGGGAGAGATAGGAAACGCGGGGGAGAAAAAGGAATCGCCGTCGGTGCGAATTTGTTGCTACCTACGCGCGTACATACACACACACACATACACACCCATACACACGCGAATGCATGCATAATAATTGATCACGAGACCACACGAAATTGTTAATAGCCAGTTGAACGCAATAGCCTTCCATTCATCTATGAAATAACTATATTCGTCGTCGTCGTTTCGAGTTTAATGGCCCTTGCCGATCGATAAGCGCGCTCGGTTATAATAATAACGACGACTGCGTTTTCAATTTGACCGTAAAATTAGCTCGAAATTGGAAACGATCGTCTCTCGCGACTTTTTGCGCCCGCCCTCGTCAATTATGTAAATTTGAAAAAGAGCGACGTTCCGCGGCGGCCTTTCTATCTGAATCGCGCGCGCATAGCACACGCCGTCCATTTTCCCCGGGGCGATGGCGCGGCGGTGGATCGAACCGGAGAAATGTTATATTTAAGATCCATTTGCTCGTCCGAGCCTTTTATTGAATCTTTAAAACCCTCCGAGTGTAGGATCAGGGATTTAACCCTTTCGCGGAAGGGGGTGGACGCGACGGCGGCGGCGGCGGCGGCGGCACACGCGCGCGTTTCGCCCTCTTCTCGCTTTATAAATAAGTGAATTATCTCTATTACCCCGCGCGCGCGCGGAATGTTGCCTGATAAGCGGCCAAGTCCGCGTTATTTTCACGTTCGCGAACAAGCGCGAACCTCTGTTGAAACTAACAGTCACCCCCTAAATCTCGGAGCCCGCCGAAGGTGACCGGTGGGAATCTCGAAGCGCGGAATAACGCGGCCGATGGAAAAAGAAATTTAGAGGTTTCTTCTCCCTTTGCTGACGTCCGTGAAGAGTTAATTTTCCAACATGGCGTGTGGCAACTCGCCGCGGCAGGGGCGGGAGCAGACGGAGGACCGCAGGGGGGCCGGGATGTCGATCCGCGTCGCGAAAAATGGGAACGTCGGCGACGGGCTCGCGTGTCGGCGACGTGATCGCGGAGGGCAAAGGTCGCGGCGACGGCCGCTGCAGGCCGGTCCAGATGCAGCGCTGGATAAACGCGAAAGGCAATCGTGTGCCATTAGCGAGCGGCCGATAACGAGTGAAAGGAGCGCCGGAAAAAAATGGCACGAGAAAATAGGGACAGCTCCGGAGCGAGGGGGGGGGGGAGAGGCGGGCAGATGGGACGAGATGGAAAATTGACGCGTTCATTATTGCCCGGAGCTTTGGAAGCGGAAAACAAAGAGAGCCGAACAGATAGGTAGAAAGATAAAGAGAAAGATCGAGAGAAAGAGAGGGGACGCGCGTGCGAGCGAGCGAACGAGTTGCGTCGGTAATCGGCTCTCGAGAACCGCGGGGGGGGGATGCTTTGCTCAACTTCCGGCAACGAGGCCGATTTAATTAGCCGACGATGACGAACGGAAGAGACGCGCTGACTCCGTCTTCGCGCGGGGGGTGGTTTTTGTTTCGCGATACTCCCTTGGCCGCGGTTGAGGTTTGGCTTCCGCGATATGCTTACAGATTCCGCAGGATTTCGGGAGCTCCACGCGGATACTGCAAGTGCAATAATGCACATCGATTGTCGTTAAATATGTAATTCCGCGTGTCTGGCATTCTTAAAACCATGCGAGCGAAGCATCATTGTGTCGGGAGAGTGTGAGAAGAACGATCGTTTAATCGATTGCACGCGAGCTCATCTTTCTCGGACGCATAATTTGTTGCTTATCTCGGAGTGGTCGACTCGGAGTATCGACTCTCTTTTTCTCTCTCTCTCGCTCTCTCTCTCTCTCTCTCTCTCTCTCTCTCTCTCTTTCTCTCTCTCGGCGGCAAATTAGTGGCGGACTACATTTGGCGAGACCGATAAATCCGCGATCGAATCGTCCGCGATTTTATCAGTCGCTGTTGCACAACACTCGTCATATTTATCATTGCATCGCGCGTGATTTCATTCGGTGCACTAATTGAAGATTGCATATTTGACGGACGCGAATTGTGCGCGCGATCGGAAATTTTCAACAAATTAGAACAAGAGAGAGAGAGAGAGAGAGAAAGCGATTGTTCGCGTTGTCGATTCTGTCAAATTACCGCGTATTATTGAGAATTAATTATAATCTGTTTTGAGAATAATACTTTGCGGTTCCCCGCGTCGCGTCGCGTCGTTGCGCTATTTTTGAGCCGTTTCCCTCCCTCCAATTCTTTTTTCCCTCCTCGTCGGCTCTCGGGTCGAAACGGGAGAACACGCGGGCGAAAAATACATCAGTGAAAAATCAACATTTAAATAATTATCGCGATCCGATATCTCGCCTCTCTGCGTTAACGGTCGCGATTTAAGCGACGACTCCGAAGCGACGGGTCTTGACGCGCATCGATTACGCTCGAGAGCGTTGAATCATTAAGTGTTCCTTAAGTTCACGTTCTGTTCCGAGTGATGCCCGATTTATCGCTCGCGCTTAACGCCGGATTCGAAGAAAGATTCGCGCGTTTGTGACGTTATCTCTCCCCCTCTCTCCCTCTCGTTTCTCGACACGCAAAATATCCCGCGATTCGCGAAAACTACATTCGCCCCGGCCAACTTTGCTCACTCGATGAAAATCCCAACGGCGGGCTCCCACTGACATTCGGAGCGCGTCGGACAAGCGAATGTCACCCTCCGCGACTTGCATCGCGCTCCGCGCCGCGGATGAAGCATTAATGCCACGCTCGCTGCGGACTTTTCGGGGAACGATCCATTCAGCCGGTGAGAAGTCGTCGGACAGGAAGCCGGGAAGACAAGACAAGCGCGTTTGTATCCACGAATATCCGCCGGAGGATGTATCGGCCAGCGCAGGAAAATCCGACCGGGTACTTGCGATTAAATTTGGAGCCAAGCGTGTGTGTGTGTGCGCGCGAGCTCCGTCTTTAAACTTTAGACTCGCGCGTTTATCGGAATATTTAACTCCGGCTGAAGCGACGTCGTGTCATTCTCAAAGTCTTCACGTCAGAGAAAGATTGACGTTCAGTCGAAATCCCTTCCGGCAGGGATGTCGGAAGCAAGTCGCGTGACACTTCCTTCGCGGGCCGATTGTCCGCGATTCTAACGCGTTTCAATTATCGCGAATCCACCGAGCTATTTCGCGAGGCAGCCCTCGGGGCCGTTCTCGTCGTCGCTCAAACCACGATCATTTCGCCCCGACGTCGCCCCGCCGTCGACGTCCCGCCG